TTTTGATTGGTCCCAGAAATGCCTCATTTGACAATCCCTTTTTCTTCGCCTACATTTAGTTTGGTTTGGTTCTACAATCTTCAAAAATTTTAAATGCAATATCAATCGTCATCTTCTGTCTTCCTGAACCCTTTTCCTTTTATTGTCCTTTTCCTCACTTCTCTTCACTAAAGTCTTCTCAGTCACTCCCTATCCCCACCCACGTTCTAGTGGTATTATTGCCTTGCTTGGAGTGAAATGATTAAAAAAGCTATATATATATATATATATATATATATATATATATATATATGGGTTCATCTAGCGGGTCCCAGCTAACCAGCTCAGAACATTTGGTTTTTGTCAAGAGAATATTGTCTGAAGAAAAAGCCTACGTGACAATTCCAGTGTCCGGAGACTTTAGACACAGAAAGTCTACTCCCGAACTGGAAGAGATTGCCCCAGTAAGACCTGTTTTGTCTATTGACCGTAAGAGATAGCCAGAGTCAGAAGAATAGAGTTAAAAAAAAAAAAAAAAAAAACTAACTTAAAGAACAGAGGCGAAAGTCGCCATTGTTGTTGGACTGGCCATTCATAGCAAACGTTCTGAATGAAAAGGATGCTTTGCGTAAAGACTTGTCTTACAGCCTCCCCAGCAACAAACGAAAAGAAAGAAGACAGTATTGTGTAGTAATTGCTAATAAGGAATAGTTGTTTGGTATTATCAAAACAGCCTTAGGATTTGAATTCGTTTTCAGCTAAAGGATGTACCACGGGTCTATCGCCATGTAAAAACAACACCAGTTGCTACATAGCAGCAAACAGTTTGCAACGTGGCCAGCTGCAACATAGCAGGGAACAGATTGCAACGTGGCCAGTTGCAACATAGCAGGGAACAGATTGCAACGTGGCCAGTTGCAAAATAGCAGGGAACAGATCGCCACGTGGCCAGATAAACATAACAGGGAACAGATCGCAACGTGGCCAGTTGCAACATGGCAGGGAACAGATCGCAACGTGGCCAGTTGCAACATGGCAGGGAACAGATTGCAACGTGGCCAGTTGCAACATGGCAGGGAACAGATTGCAACGTGGCCAGTTGCAACATGGCAGGAAGATGTTTAGGCTTGTGGGGTAGCATTTCCAACTTCTTCTTTCCCCTGATAACCAGTCATAGTGACCACAGCTAAATGTAACAAAACAGTGCAGTCAGTGAAGAGTGAGCCAAATTCTTGGGGCCCTCTTCTGTCGTCAATTTTACAACGGGTTACATTTTCGGTGTCAGTAACTGCTTCACTAGCCGCATATCTAAAATGTCTTTGTGAGAAAAAAAACTATTTGTTCCACGGCCGGCTAAATGATTAAATCAGAATCAATAAAGTGAAAAGAAATTAGTCCATGGATTTGGAACAGATGTGAATTAAGAAACGTGTTTACCTTGAATTGTGATCAATAATTTTTTCTTGATATTGAAATTGTGAAACACGTGTTGGTGACATGGCAATTAGGGACCAATGAACAAGTAAGCTAAGCAAAGAACTATTTATACTTTGGCTTCCAAAAAATTAATAAACACACTCGTTGTACTAACGAACACCGTTTTAAACACTAAGGAATGCCGAACACTAACGAATGGCGTTTTAGATAGGCAAAGTTAACACTAACGAATGGCGTTTTAGATAGGCAAAGTTAACACTAACGAATGGCGTTTTAGATAGGCAAAGTTAACACTAACGAATGGCGTTTTAGATAGGCAAAGTTAACACTAACGAATGGCGTTTTAGATGGCAAAGTTAACACTAACGAATGGCGTTTTAGATAGGCAAAGAACACTAACGAATGGCGTTTTTAGATAGGCAAAGTTAACACTAACGAATGGCGTTTTAGATAGGCAAAAGTTAACACTAACGAATGGCGTTTTAGATAGGCAAAGTTAACACTAACGAATGGCGTTTTAGATGAGGCAAAGTTAACACTAACGAATGGCGTTTTAGATAGGCAAAGTTAACACTAACGAATGGCGTTTTAGATAGCAAAGTTAACACAATGGCGTTTTAGATAGGCAAAGTTAACACTAACGAATGGCGTTTTAGATAGGCAAAGTTAACACTAACGGATGGCGTCCTAGGGTGAGTTAATACTAATGAATGCCGTCTTAGCGCCATACAGATCTCATTAAATACATTCCTTATGATTATTATAATTTTATGGTTTACGGCCATATCACGTTGAAACACCGGTTCCAATACGATCACCGAAGTTAAGCAACGTCGAGCCTGGTCTAGATGGGTGGCCGCCCAAGAATACTAGGTGCTGTAAGTTTGGATGTGCGGATGGTGTAAGCGATAATAGCTTGGAATTGTTAACAGGAGAGCTGAGTTCCAATTTCAGTTGGGTTCACTGTATTCACTTATCTACTAAAAAATTCATACAATCTAAAATATCTTCTGGCTTTAAATAACCTACAAAGGGTTGATAAGCCGTAGAAAACGAATCAATCAATAAATCAATGAAATACTGATTAGCTACACAAGCATATATTTTAGATTTATTTTACATTTTCTGAATTTAAATGTTACCGAGGGTTAACTATTTGCCTATAGCTGGGACCCTAACAGGTGCTACCACCTCGGGTCAGGGTGGACCTGGAAACACCAGCAATTAAGAGATAGTTCCACGCTCCTCAAAACCTCCTGATCAGAGGCCTTGCTGCTGGATGTAGTTTATCGTCTTACCCAGGACGGCAGAGAGGAAGGGACATCCTAACGTATTGTATACGAATGTAAACAAACGTCAGTAGCCAACAGTGTGTGTGTGTCTGTGTGTGCGTGCGTGAATGTGTGTATAATATATATATATATTGATGCATGTTTCATTAAATAATATAGACAAGTTGTGTTTATTTTAAGTAAGTTCCTTTCATATTGTCTGATAAGCTTAATAACATTATCATTGAAAGACGAAAGGAAATCACCATATTGATACATGTTTAAATCCAATCTGACGTTTTGTCGAGATTATCAAAGATGACAATTTTCACTTCAATATATCAAACAATACATGGACGAAACAATTTGTCGTTGCTTTGAAATTTTTTCATGCAACAAAAAACAGACTATCATTATTGTTTCGTCCGTGTATTGTTTGAATATATTGAAAAGTAATTGTCATCTTTGATAATGGCTTATGTAAGCCGAAAGCTTAGATTGGATTTAAACATGTATCAATATGGTGATTTCCTTTCGTCTTTCAATGATAATGTTATTAATTATCAGACAATATAAAGGAACTTATATAAAATAAATAGACAAAACTTGTCTATATTATTTAATGAAACATGCATCAATATATATATATATATATATATATATATATATATATATATATATATATATATATATATATATATATATATTCCATGGTATTTTACGACTTATTCAAGATGATTTTGATATAGTGAATTTACAAATATAGCTGTTTTATTAATAATTTAATGATTTTTATGGTGTGCTATCCATACAATAACAAATGCATACCTATATATTTCATCAACAAGTTGATATAAACATTAAGAAATACATATATATTATTTTATAGCCCACTCATTTTTCTGACAGAAATTCATTTTAGAAATTTATATGACGACATATTTTAAAAAATAAAAAATGGCTCAAATAGATGTTTGTTAATATATTTAGAGTATATAGGGCTGCAGCTATAACCGGACAGCTGTCTAAAAATTACAACCTGAGGAAATAAAAGTTTTTTCTTTGAATGCCAGTCTTCCATAGGAAAATGCTGGCTTTTACTATCATGAAATTTTTATTTTTGTGGTTTATCGATCGAATTGCTGGGGCCAATGTTTTTTTTAGTTGTTACACGCCCTTAACCCGCGTTTGTTTTGAAATTTCTTTCTACAAAGAAATGAATGCAGATCGAAAATGCCTTATTTTTTCGAAAGTTCTGAAGTTAGATGGCTGGGAGTTTTGTTTCAAGAGAACTGCTAATATATTTCCTTCAAAACAAATTGACCATGTACTTATCATAAACGATAAATAAATATAACTAAACTTTTTATGCTTTATATTGTATATATTTGTAAATATAAATATAAGTTCTTTTCAAATTAAAATATAAGAATATCGTCTCTGGAATAATTTATAAATTTTATGGTTTAAACTGTGAATAAAATGGTTTTCTTCAAGAAATACCGTTTTTATAAATATTTTCATTCGGCAGCTTTTTTAATTATAACGGTCATGTATTTCTTTATAAAAATTTAATCTTTTTTAAATTGGCAGACTCAGCGGAAGACCAACGTTTTAAAAAGACCAACGGAAGAAGACAAGTTTCAAAAGGGGAAAATAAGGATAGAAAATAAATAAAAAACGGAACTCTTTAACCTTCCAGAATAAAATGACAGATCTATTTTAATTTTTAAATTTTACCCAAACATCGTTTATCTGTTTCAAGGAATTCAATTTATCGCTTCAAAATGGATGAAATAGAATTGTCTCATAAGTTGACAGATGAAATGTCGGAGGTTTAAATAAAACAAACGAAAAACGGCGAATCTTTTTATTTAATTCTTAATATTTTTGATATTTTTGATAATTATGGGATTTTATATATATTATCGTATCTAGTAATATCATCAATGTTTTAATTTTCAACCAAATTTCAAACCTAAAATTACGGTCTCATAATTTGAAAATATATTTTCCCGTATATACATTAAAGTTTAAATTTAAAATATGAATACCAGGTGCTTTAAACTTAAAATGTACGGTTGGTGTAACGGACAATATTTTTTATTCTTAATCCGAGAGCCAAGTTTCACACGATAGAAATTAAAATGTTCATTGGTGGAGATAAGTCACGTAAAACACATGATTTCCGCTTAATGACGTCACTGCATGCATTTAAAAATTTTTATATATATTTTTAGTTTGTATCAATATAAAACATATATTTTCAGGGTGACCGGGATTGCACCTTCATCCTTTTAATTTCTAGTGCACAATATCCAAATTTTAATTATCAAACAAATGCGGATCTGGGTTTGAATTATCACGTTAAAATAACCGGTTTCCTGTAAAACAATCACTAAAGTTAAGCAACGTCGAAAAATCTCCCAAATAAAGGATGAGATGGGTCCAACCGCTTTTGAATATCAATGCTGTAAGCAAAAATTTCAAAATTTGGTGTAAAATCATGGTTCTGAAGATGCTAATCAAAGAAATTTAAAATCCGATTTTCATTGGGTTCGTTATATTCAGATTCATGCAAATACTTTTGAGAAGGTATGAACCCACCTCTTCTCCCCAAAATTTTAATTAGTATAAAATATATTATATATCTACAAAAAAAATCAATTTAAAAATATTTTTTTATTTTTAAAATTGGTAAGTCGTAAAAAAGGAATCAATCAATCAAATGCCAGATCTTTTTGCCAACTTAAATTGTAAAAAAAAATCTGATGAATTATATTTAACTTAAATTTTTAAAAACTGAGATTTATATTTCGAAAATGTAATTCCGTTTTTCAAAAAATTGGCCAAAAATAATTCCATAAAACGTAATTCTTCAAAGTCAATTTTTTATTTCCAACGAAGGAATGACTGTGGACCAACATTAACAACTTTCAGGGCAAATGTTTCTCTTGTAAACAAATCCCGATTCAGTAAAAATCTGTTATCGAAAATGTCATCTCGGCAATAATTTAATTGAATCACGACCCGAAACCTTGAAAAGATTTTTTTTTTTTTTTTTTCAAAATCACACGCTGACTTAATCGGAAAAAATCTTAATCAAATGGCAGCTGTTTATCAATTAGAATGAACAATTTCTTTTGCAGGGAGAATCTTGTTGAAAAAAAAAAACTGAAGACTTAGTGGAAAACCAACGCTTGACAGTTGTCCATTTTTCTCGAGCCTTTCTTATAAAAACCCAAAGACTCCGACTTTCAAGCAGAGTTCGTGCTGAATTAAACATATATCGGTGACAAGGATAAAAAAAAAAAAAAATCAAAGAAGGGAAGTTCCTCTTGGAGCCTGCAAAAATTGATATTCTGCTGTGTCATGTTCAACTAAAATTTCATTTCAATTCCAAGCCAAGACATATAAAAACATTCTTCATTTAATCACTGATTATCACAAGATCATCTTATCGAGCGTGTAAATAATGGCGGGCTAAAATTATGTCTCGCATAATCTCTCTCAACATTTCAGGTTAAAGTCAAACTTCGATGTCCCGAGATAGCCACTATCCTACGATAAGCTATGAAAAATTTCAATACGATAAACTTTCTATTTTCTATATCATATCTGTATAAAGTGTCGTCGTTGTTTTTTCTGCAATACTCAAACAAAACAAAAACTACATTATTGAATAGACTGGCTATATAAAGTAACTCATCAACTATAACTGCTTCTCATCAATCGCCGATGGGAAGGTTTCGTTGCTGGAAAACAAAACCAGAGTTGCCACTGATGTCGGTATGTTGAAATGATTTTATGTTCATTTGAAGAAAGTAGACGCTTTCGAATATCCAAACGTTACTAATTAAAATATGTTTTTGACGTTGTTTTCATAGTTTATAACCGAAATATGTTGTTATATATTTTGTAAAACCGAACACTTATTTGTACTTAGACGTATTAAAAATAGATCATTCCATCTTAAATGTCATCGTTTTAGGGCAATATCAGCTTGAGATTTTTCTTGCTAAAAAGTTGAAATAATTTAATAATAATCTAACACATTGATTATTCATAACAACCATATCAAAAAAAATGTATTAAAAATGATGGACTTAAACACAGACATATATTTACATGGCCATGATGCAATCTATCTATCTATAACGGCTGAGATGAGGTATTATTTACATATTCTTTTATTGTTTTTAATCTTTGTCGCCATATTTTAATACAACGTTCCGGTCCTTCAGTATCTGTCTATATTTCTGAAATGAATTATATTTTACAAATTTATTATTATTCAGGCTTATTCCTCATCTTTGTTGCCATATTTATTACAACATTCTGGCCCTTCAGTATCTGTCTATATTTCTGAGATGAAATAATTATATTTAACTGTAAATTTACATTATTCGGACTATTGTCCTCATCTTTGTTTATGTATTTATTACAAACATTCTGGCCCTTTTCAAAATCTGTCTATATTTCTGAGATGAGGTATTATTAAATATTTAAATTCGGACTATTGTCCTCATCTTTGTTGCCATATTTATTACAACGTTTCGGCCATTGTAAAAAAATCTTAACTGAATCCTTTATTTCTCTCACTGAGGTAGAA